AAATTTTTCAAAGTTCTTATAGATTTAAGTTTATTATTAAAAAGAGAATAAGGTATCGTTTATAAGAATTATTCAGAATAAATACTTATAATTATTAATTGGTGAATTACAAAAGAGAGATAATAAATGTTTTGATAATTCTATAAAAATGTCTGTGAATAGATTATGTAATAATTTGATATTAAATTTACAATTTATGGATATTTCATAAATTAGCACATCCCTATAATACAATTATATTTTTTTGTAACTATATATTCTATAATATAATTATACTTTTCCTACAATTGTCTTTCATACATAATAAAACATAGAGATCGATGACTGAAGTGCAAATTTAATTGAAGTATCACGTTGTGAATAAATATATATATGAAACAAATATTAAGTTATAAATTTAATGTCATAGGTTGATCAGTGTTATTGAAGCTTAATATTAAGAATCAAGAAAACTGTTTGTAAATAAAAGCATTGCTATATGTTATTTTAATATTTTGACACGTACATTCTTTAAAATTTTGTAGCTTCAAATCATAAATTAAATTAAAATAATAGAGTAAAATGAGAGAACATTTATATATATTATATATTTATTCTATTATACACAAGATAATCATATTCCGTTTAACAAATCTTGATATGTCCATGTATAACAAAAAGACCCTTACAAACCACATAGCTAATCTTTATGATTTAATATGTTTTACATTGACAACAAATATCATCATATAGAGAACATACATAGTTCAATTAACTAAAACAACAGATTATCTTATTTTTAATTGAATACAGATCGATCAATGTCTTAAGCGCGATTTGTAATTGTGTCAATAGAATATATTTAAAATATTAACTTCTGATTGTTTAATAAAAATGTAAATGTTGAAGTAACCCATGTCAATTGAGCAAACTGCATATCCCAAGGAAAAGCAACTCATCTGTTCTTCATTCATTTTTTTTTACTGCATCACCTTTATCTTTCCATGATAGGGTACATGTCCCATTTTTGCATTCTTTTATCAAATCTGGACATAGCTGATCTCCCTTGATCTCCTGTCCTTTACTTCTCAACTGCCACCACTTGATCAATAACGGTTGTATAAGGAACCTCCATATTATTAGGATTATAGGAACCGCGAAGCATGGCACGCACACCATTCTGTATCTAACTTATTTTTATAATCTAAAATTATAGAGAAGTAATTTTCAGAGAGAGAGAGAGACAAACAGAGGACAGAAATGTCAATGTTCATTTTGAAGCTGCAGCTTCATAGATCGCACAATTAATCATCTCGTTTCTTATCATACTGCATTTGCTACGTACGTTCACTTTCGAAGGTGCGGAAAGCAGGATGATTCTCTCTTATCTTGAGAAAAGGAATATCGAGCCTTCACGAGACAACAATCGGACAAATGTGAGAGAGATCGATATAAGCATAACCTGGACGAGACTAGAGTAAAAAATCTGGAATATTCTTGATGAGTACAGAAAATATATCGATTAAAAGCAGATATTATCGTGTTAGAAATGATTACTGCTAGAGATGATTACTTGGAATGTTGACTCGTCCCTTTAATTTTAACGTTTCACCCTCCGACAATTCGCTCGATCTGTCACTCGCGATCGTGATACACAATTACAAACATATACCAACACATACACAGAAGAAGTACACGACACATATCTATTCGACTTCCTTCGTCTGTCGTTCGCAGCGCCGCGCCAAGCGCGACTAGCTTGAACTCTTGGAGTGCTTGGACTAGTGTCAAATTGACGTGCGCAAGTTACTAGCTAGTTTTGGAATGGCTTCGACTAAACTCTGATTAACTTGATTAAAGAATAATTTGTCAAGTAACATTTGTATTTTCTTAATTTGGAATTATATTCTGTTATTTAAAATATGGAAAACAAAAAGATTGGATTAGAAACGATAAAATTTAGTCAGAAATTTAGTAAGCAATTCAATAACATACTACGAAAAAATTAATAATCGATAATTAACTTTATCGAGTAATATTTTATTAATGTGGATTATTATTATTTCTTATTGCTTAATTCTACTGGTCTGTTCGAGTTTATTTGATCCAAAATGTAATTTATCTTCTTACTAATATTTTAAAAAATTTTATTCTGTTAACTTCGTCTATGTAAAATATATATATTTTCTATAAAATTTATTTTTTATTTTCTCAGAACTTTAAATTACATTGGTCCAAACGATATGATCATTAAATCATCAGTAAAATTTGAACAAACCAACACACCAAAGTTAACATATACAGTTCAAAGACAACGAATTGTAATTTTTACTTTGAGCACTTCTCTGCTAGTTATGAATTAATCGCCTAATTATGTTAATTAGAGTTATTTAGTCGAAGTCGTCCTTGTTCTACATAGGTACCCGTTTCTTTCTGCACGACGTCAATCAACTGGTAACGCTATTCGCACTTGTCCCTGCGAGAAGTCTAATTTATATTCATATTTATATCCATATTTAACACGATCATGATGCGCTATACGATATTTAACATTATACGCATGCAAAAGAACATGGTCACAGCCACATATCATGATTGCAGGATCTTCGTGTTTTACTACGTTTAATTGTACACATATATGTATATATGTACATTTTAAATAAGGCACTGAAAGCCATATATTAGATAATTGAACGAGAGAATTCGTATCGCAAAATGTTTGTGGTAAGAGTTATATCGAAGTCTTTAAAATGTTCCAGATGTCAATTCGACTAATCAATTCCTTTAATTTCACGAGGAAAAGTATTATAAGCCGAATAATTATTAATTAGATCACGCATAAGCTCTTTTGACTCTTACATGCTTCCAAACACCTTACGACCCCTCGTTACAGATAACGAGACAACGACGACGCTCAACACGAAGAAAACTAGACCGAAGAAAGTGGTCAGGGTTCTGCACCATTGCCGCTTCCGTTTCGCTCTCGCAATAGTCCGGCCTAAACGCTCGGCCTGTGTCACGTCGAGCGTGAAATCAAAATCTTCGCCCAAACTTCCAACAGTTAAGCGATGGTTCCAATTGTTCGCGCTCAACGAGGCAATTGTTCCTTCGATTGTAGACGATCCGATGTCGCTGCATACTAGCTGCTGAAATAATATGTTCCTCCATACAGCATGATATATTATACACTCGCTGAACATTGATTAAAACGAACATTGATTATTTATATTCGTTCCTACCAAAATGTAGATTAATATATTTTAATCCACATTCAATTCTTCATTTTTTTTTCTAATTCTTTGAAAAAAAATAAAGAGAAAGTTAAACTGAGATAAAAAATTTAATCTACGTTAATGGAAACGAGCATTAATCAAACAATGTAAATCTGAAGAGTCTTTTCTCAAGAAGCTATACGTTAATCGAGTTAATATTCACCGAATATTTGGACTCTGTTGTGCAAGGTTTCTTTCTCGCGAGGCTGAAGTTGTTTCTCATATTGCTGTCGCCTTCACGTCTCGTCATCCTGTCATTCTTGAGCGACGGCGCGGATTGCGTCGAGTTGTACTTGTAAAGGCAACGAGGGCTGACACAAAGTTTTGAGTTGATTGGATTCACTTTCGACGGTACATTCTTCATGCAGCTCGGCGATATTGTTGGATTATTATCATTAAACACCCAGGATGGGCAAATGTACTCGTACACGTTGTCGTTCTTCATGCCGATCTCTAGGGAAACAATGCGCGATATATCACGCAAGATATCTTCTGGTGCCGCCGTGACGTTGCCGTCTATCACAGAATTGAGAGTTCGGGATAATTCGAGCAGCACCTCACGAGCTCTTGATGGTGATGATATCAGCTGCGGCTGCGGTGGCGAATACTTATACGTGCAACCGCATACGTGGCATGTATAAATACCTGTTATGATAAAAGAAAAACTAACGTGCGATAAACGAGATTTTTAAAAAGTGAAAGTGAATTATACAGCGCGAAATCGTCACTAATTCTGTTTATACCTTCATAACCGCCTGCATTGTGATCCTCGGTATGATGATAGATGATGGAAGGCCAAATTGGCCGCGGTATCGCTTCGCTCTCATGAATTACCGCTAGGCTACCGTATGATGGATTTCTCGTTGATGCTGACGCGTAATAGGAGTACGAGCCAGCTGACAATGGCGGCGAATGGCTCGAATAACCGGAGCTCGTCGACGTTCTGTAACATCTTCGTGGATTATTGCGCGACGCCGTTGACTTGCTACCTGCGATGCCGCTCACGAATTTAGAAATTTCTATGTCTGCCAAGTCCGATCTTATCCTGGAAAATTATATTCCATCGAGTATGATGGACAACATGTGATAAATACACACACACACACACACACACACACACACATATCATTAAATATTTCTATTAAATTGAAGGTAAAAAGTAGGTATGTCGCGTTTCTCATATAAAATTTAATTTCGAATAAAAAATACAACTTCCATTTTTATATTAATTAAGAATTTTATTAATTGAGAAAATCATCATTCGATTTCAATAGCAGCGTTTAGTAGAATTTATTTTGCAATTGCTGGAAGTTTTTCTCATATTGATTGGATTATAGATAAAAAATGACATAATTTTTAATTTTTTAAATTTTTGTCAAGATAATATAATACAGTCGGAGACTTGTATACCATTCGATGTCGTACGTAGGTGATGCGGCATAAACACGCCTAATATCGATTTCTGCACCTTCGGGATCGATCCGACTCCTGACAGTCCTGGTTCCAGGGTCTCCAGGATCGCGCGGGATCGCCGCTCGCCTCGCTACGCCAGCACTCGGTGGCATTCGGACTTCAGACCCTACCTGACGCTACCGCAGAGATCGGACGTAAGCTCGTCCAGGGCCAGCTGTTGAAACCATCGCTGCATGCTCAATCATCAGCTGCGCTTTTGTCATCGACGAACCACGTGGATTCCTACGAGCCATAGCGATCGGTCTCTTCTGTCTCTTAGCGAAAGCGAATCTCTTTATGTATAAATTTTTTCAGCCGTTGAGTCTATTTAATCTCAATTATCCCCCGCAACTCCTCGCGTAAAGTAGCACGATATAATGTCGTTGGCATAGCGCCGAGCCTACAACACTATCGTGTCTCTTGATATATACGTTTACTTCCAGACGATCTTATCGAACGCGCGCGTGTGATCACAGATGATCCACGTTTCAAGGTCGCTTTCACATTCGTTGTATTCACGTAAGAAATCGGCCAGTGTAAAACGCCTATTACGTATTATTCGGGACGTGTCGAACGTTAATAGAGGTCATCGTCGTTCTTTTTCTTCGAGCTTACGTTATTGCGTACTTTATTTGACCTCCTCTTCTCGATTCTCCTCCGCGTGACGAGTTATCAATACCCGACACGAGCGAGTCTCCGAGAGACTCCTCTCCGCGGCGTCGCCGTGTCAAATTTCGACAACGTGACGTATGAGGCGAAGAGAAAGCGGATATGCGAGAATAGCTTTCGAATTAGGTCAACTTGAGTAATGGAAAGCGCCCTTTGTGTTTGTTGCATTAAATTCCGTGTTGCGTGTGTCATTCGTATATATACTCGTATATATACGATATGATGCCCAATTATTCATCAGCCACTCGGTATTTTTCGGAGCCAATCCTCGAAATCTCATGATTTTCGGTAAATCGATCGGTCGTTTGCTGATCAACGTCCGGTGAGCAATCAGCATTGGTAAGCATTATCTCATAACGCAAGAGATACGTATATATGTACGTAATTACCTAGGAAATGTATAGATCAGTGTGCACGTTGCAGCGCTTGAACGTTGTACATTCCATCATCAGCAGCCAGACGGCCAGTCGGGCCAGGTAGTAGCCAACCACTTTCACATCAGCACGGTACGTTCGCCAATGTTTACGTATATTGCACCCTAAAATATCGCATAACGTTAATATAAAAACTTCGTAACGATAGAATGATCTTCATACATAAATCGATATCACTCCATGATCGATAATATAACTTTCAACGAGTTCGAATTATCTCTGCAAAAATTAATGTGATTACTTTCACAAAAATTTTTCCTATGTAATTTCGTCGACTCATGCCCATTTCTTATACAAATGTAGATTAACTTTCGCGTTATCAGCACGATTTTTCTAATTCTGAGAATTTGAAAAAGATATAAAGTTAGATAAACTGAAAGTTAATCTACATTGGTATAGAAATGGGGATAAAATCAATCAATTACGGCTGTTTTCATTTTTAAATTAAAAACACGTATATATTTGATGTATAAACGTCACGTAACAGAGAGCTCATATGTATAATAATTTTTTACATAATCTTTTATATAAATGTCGAGATGAGCGAAAAGCAACCGCGAAGACGCATGTTATTAATTGATTGCGTTTAGCAGAAGAAGCATCTTTGCAATTGCTATTGTAAGATTCTCGAATAATTCTCTAATTGATTCTCGTCTTTAATTTCTAATTGCTAGATGAAATGTATGATCAATCATTATGAAAAATATTTACAACGATAAGCAGGTTTTTGCAAAGCTTTTTCTGCAATCATTGTTTATGTGAATACATATCGTATGTAAGTTACAGCGCCAATTATGAGAATATTTTTTCGCACGTAGAATAAATAAATATACGTAATGGATGGTTTTCTAAATTTGAATTACACGATATCGTTTACCACTTCGTCCCAGCAACGATAATGAATGCGATCTTTATGCGGACTGTTGAGCGTCGCGCGAAAGAATTAATAACGCAAGATTTTAGCATATTTTCTCCTCAGAGAATTCTACGGCCTTTCTACGGCGGCGGGTGTTATATATGTGCATATATAATCTAGGGAAGATAATATTACATGCCCAGCAAACGAGAATGGATTAAAATGGATTGAAATTTTTTTCTATCCGAATGCATATTTTAAATAGCGAATACTTTTTTTTTATTTAATTGGATTCAATTGGATGCAATTGAAAAACTGCATTTTCTATTCAAAATTTTGAATTGAACAGTATTCACAATTATGTGTGTTGAAAAAGCTAATATTATTTTTAGATTGAAAGGCATAGAGATGCTCCATGCAATTCCTATAAATGAATAAAAATGCATTCAGGATTGAAAAGCATTCATTCGTGAATCAATATTTCTGAAAATCTGAATCCATTTCAATTCATTTCAATCCATTCTCATTTGCTAGCTATACAACGCAGGTTCACGCACAATAATAACGTATGGCTGTCGCCAATGGCGAGTGGCGAACGGTATGCAGCCCGCGAAATGTAATGAAACTGCGAAAAATATTTAACTCACGGACTTTCACTCGCACTCATTTAGGACCGTCGACGGAAAAAAGATCGTTACTGCAGGCCGCACCGCGCACGTCGTCCGTGTCGTCTCGTTCCGCCTTCGATCTGATTCGGGATCGAGATCGGGATCGGGCACTGAAAGATCTTTAAGTAAGATCGCTTTCGCAAACATCGAAACGTGGATATCTCCGACCGTTTGATATTCTGAAGAAATTGTCGCGAAGAAATTTATGATATCGTGTTCTTCAAACGCGGGATCTCCTCGCAATGATCCCTATTTATAATTCTATATAATATATGGACTGTAATAATCAAAGCTTCGCGCAATTATCGAGTAATATGAAAAAATTTTATCCATCCAGCTTCATTTCGTCTCATATCTCGTTCTTCCGTATCGATTCAAATTTATTCATATTCATGCCGTTCACCGGCATCTGTCGCGAAATCAAACATCCGAAGTGGATACTTTCATTTCTAAATGTGGTCCCAACAAATAAGAATTGAATTGAATTGAAATGGATTTAGATTTTCAGAAATATCGATTCACGAATGAATGCTTTTCAATCCTGAATACATTTTTATTCATTTATAGGAATTGCATGTAGCATATCTCTATGCTTTTCAATCTAAAAATAATATTAGCTTTTTCTGTGCAAAACTTTTGAAAAGGAAATGCAATTTTTCAATCTAATTGCATCCAATTGAATCTAATTGAATCCAATTGAATCTATTTAAATCCAAAAAATGTATTCGCTATTTAAAATACGCATTTGGATAGAAAAATTTCAATTCATTTTAATCCATTCTTTGCTGAGGTGTTAATACATGTACGCGACAGATCCGAACTGTTATTTGAAGAAGGCAGGAGCGACATTTATTGCCGATTGCAACACACCTGCGCGCCGTTGGAACTAAAGTACTTGAAACATAAAGAAAGAGAGTGACAATTACTTATGGTATCGATTAAGTAACAGATAATAATTGCAATAAGAAGTATAGAGAGATTCCTCGTAACGGCGCGGCATTGCGAAAAACAAATAAAGTAATACGAAGATACGCGTTTTTCCTGCTTGCTTATTCTTAGAAAATACAAAGTATTTCTTTCTGTACGCTGTTCACAAAAAAAAATGCGTGCACGATATAATCGATTAAACGCGCGGGAATAAAAGGATTCGTACTCGATGAATGCGATCTCGTTCGTTGCTGCGGTTTTTACGTGTTCTCTGATGGCGTATCGTATAATTATACGTATATCTTTCTATCCTTTCCTTTTACTTATTCTCTCTCTCTCTCTCTGTCACATCCTTCTGCTTCTCATCTCCGTATCCGTATAGAGGACATGCACACGAATATGCGAACTTTCACACGCGCATAGTGCCGTCAATTGTATTCACTGCTCGCGTTCGCAGCGCGGCGGTCCAAAAGAAACTGAAAGACTCGACGTTCGATGAGTAATCAGCGGCAGCGAGATTGCCTTCTTTCGTATCGTGGAGATTGTGGGGGTTGTATTCTGGCCATTCCTAGCAAACGAAAATGGATTGAAATGGATTAAAAATTTTCAATCCATTCGAATTCGTTTTAAATCCATAAAAATGGATTTCATATAAATATTTTTATATATGTAAAAGTTTAAATAAATTAAAGTAGTAATTATATAAAATTTTATAGTTATTATTTTAAAACTTTTATACAAAAAATATACACTACATAATAAAGGAAACTACACTATGTACACTATGTAATAAAGGAAATATGTTAATATATAATAAAATAAAAGCAATTAATTTATTAATTAAAATAATAATTTATATAAGTAACATTTATTGTACATATTTACGTAGTTCTACTTATGTTTCTTTTAACTTTTAAATGAAACAATGGATTTTCTACTCACAATTTTGAATAGTATTCAGGGCCCATTTTAAAAGAAAAACTTTTTTTTATATTCAATTGGATTAAAAAAACATTTTCTATTCAGAATTTTAAATTAAACAATATTCACGATGCACACACAAAATACTAATATTAGGTGTAGTAAAAAGAAATCCATTATTTTTGTATGAAATTGAATGAAAAAATAATGGATTTCTTTTTACTACACCTAATATTATGTTTAGATTGAAAAGCATAGAAATATACTCCATACCATTCCTATAAATGAATAAAAATGCATTCAGGATTGAAAAGCATTCATTTTAACATTCATGAATCAATATTTCTAAAAATCTGAATATTTATAGGAATTGCATGGAGCATATCTCTATGCTTTTCAATCTAAAAATAATATTAGCTTTTTCTGTGCACACAAACACAATTGTGAATACTGTTCAAAATTTTGTATAAAAAAAATGCAGTTTTTCAATCCATTTGAATCTAATTGAATCCAATTAAATCCAAAAAAAAAGTATTCGCTATTTAAAATACGCATTCGGATAGAAAAAAATTTCAATCCATTTTAATCCATTCTCGTTTGCTGGGGAGAAAGCAATCTGTCTATACGAAGAAATAGAATTGATCTCTGCTTATTTGACTCGATATTAAGATTAATGTTAT